CCTGTTTGTTATCTTGGTATATCTGAAAGCTTGTAATATGTAGAGAATGACAAGAACCGCAAGACCTCAAAACAAAAAAACAAACTTTGAAGAGACTACTTGGTTTAGCCTCAAAAGATGTTTTTTTTTTGTGTTTTCCTTGTTTTTTTGTTTGTTTTTGGTTTTGAAATGCAAACACCAAACAAAACCTTGTGTTTTTTTGTTTTCGGTGATTTTCTCCAACCATAAACCTTCAAAAAAATCAAAAAAACTCAAGTTGATTTTTGTTTTTGCATTTCAAAACCAAAAAATCAAAAAAACACAAGGAAAACCAAAAAAACATCTTTTGAGGCTAAACCAAAACGTATCTTCAAAGTTTTGTTTTTTGTTTTTTTGTTTTGAGGTTTTGCGGTTATTGTCATTCTCTACATATTACAAGCTTTCAGAAAAGTTGCGATTTTATAGAAAATTCCTTTCAGGAACGTGATCATATTAAGCAATATGTTTGCAATTTGCAAGAATTTTGATATGTTGTTTTAATGTTATAAATGTAAGTGTATTTTTTTTATAGTAGATATTATATATGGTTCTTTACGATTTTGACTATATAGGATTTGTAATATGCAGTTGATTTGTAATAGAGCTTACATTATATATAATAAACACATCTAGCACAATAGTAATTTTACGGGCAAACCCCTCAGTTTGCCCGCGCCGACGCCGACGACATGTCCGAACATCAAAAAAGACGGTGTTTTGTGGGACAAAATGCACATGTCCATGATAATGGCTTTCATCTTGCAACGCACAGCTTAAATACCCGTGCGTTAAATGTTACAACAACATCATCATCAACATCATCATCATCAACATCATCATCATCATCAACATCATCATCATCAGCATCATTGCCGTCATCACCGTCATCATCGTCATCATCATCATCATCATCATTGAATGTAAAATTTAACGGGGCTGGGAATTTATATTCCTAATACCCTTCTTGATCTTCCCAATTGACTGTATAGTTCAACGGGGGTGGAAATTTATATTCCTAATACCCTTGTTGATCTTCCCAATTGGATGTACCAGTAAAGTTTAACGGGGGTGGAAATTTATATTTCTTAATACCCTTGTTGATCTTCCCAATTGAATGTAAAGTTTAACGGGGGTGGGAATTTATATTCCTAATACCCATGTTGATCTTCCCAATTGGATGTACCAGTAAAGTTTAACGGGGGTGGAAATTTATATTCCTAATACCCATGTTGATCTTCCCAATTGAATGTAAAGTTTAACGGGGGTGGGAATTTATATTCCTAATACCCATGTTGATCTTCCCAATTGAATGTGAAGTTTAACGGGGGTCGGAATTGATATTCCTTCAAAATCCCTAAGAAGTTGTGTGGGCGAACTGGGTGGTTTGCGCGTAATTTTACTCAAATTTTTCATGTTGATTAGTGAATATCTTAATTTTAGTTAGTGTTCATTTTACATAAATTTAGTATATGCAAATTTTATAATGATAATGGACTATTGCTGTAAATACAAAGTAAAGGCGCATTTGCTTAACGTATATTTTTTTAATATTATTTTATTTGCATACTTATGTATTTATTAAATAGTATTTGTACATAAATAAACTTCTACATGTTATCGATACTATTTTACTAAAAAATAGTGGTTATAATAATATATAAACACATTAGTTTATAAATACAATGTTTTCATGTCTGATAATATTAAATCTAGTAGTAATAGCATATCTAACAATAACAGCATTAATAAAGCAATGTTTCATTGTTATGGGTACTGTAATGCTAAATCACATGATATGAAAAGCTTAGAGCAGTATTTTCAGCAATATAATATAGGAACACGCAAGATAGAAGATTCTGTATTTTTTCAAAACCATTTGATAATGAAACAGTAGAAGTATTTTATTTGAAATTTGGATCTGTAGTGATATGGGGAGGTACCCATGATCAAAGATTTTTTTAATTTTTTTGAAAACTATATAAAACGCAGGTTATCTTCTTCTCAAGACAATTTTGGATATGAAAGTGAGATGATGAGATGTTTGTACTCATCAGATAATTCAACTATTTCTATAGACGAAGAAAACGACTTAATAATTATTAAACAAATTAGCATTTTTACTAAATTTGCTATACCTTACGGTTTAGCTCAATCTGTTAAACTAAGCTCTTTAGAAAATTCTGTGGACAGATTACTAGAAAACACTCAACCAATACACGAAGAGTTTGCAAGAAAAGGTGTTTCTTTATCTAAAAAAATATTTCAATTAAAATATGGATTTTATTTCAAGAGAATTATTCTATTAATGTGCATAGTGATGTATTAGATATACCAGAGGTTTTTTGGAAATGCCTAACTACGAGCCAATATACTCTTTAACAGCAAAGTTGCAAGATATGCAATCTAGGCAAAATATACTTAATAAGAGACTAAAGACAGTAGAAGAATTATAGAGTATACTTACCAATGAGCTTAATGTAAAACTTTCTAGTAAGCTTGACACAATAATAATAGTTTTAATAGCAATAGAGGTGATACTAGGTTTAACAACTCAGTTGCAACAGTTATTGTTTTAAAATTACTTACTGTATATAGCTATTAACATTAGGCAACTAAATAGTTTTGCTGTAATTTAAACTACTTAAGACAGATTTTCTTGTCTTACTAATTATGTATTATCATTTTAATTAGTGGTATGCACAGGCAATATTCTTTTTTTGCATTAGTATATTGATGTGCACAGGAGAATAGAGAAGTATTATTTTTAGGTATTTCTTTTCTTTGCTTATCTGTGAATTCGTATTTTTTTCTTAAAGTTAAGAATAGGTTTTATTCCAATTAATTGTTTTTTCTCCAAGGTAGTAGTTTCACCAGATTTAGTTCCCTGTATACCTAACGTGATTCTACTTTTTTTCATTATCTAAACCAAGCACATTACTTTTTACTGTAAAATGTTTATTTTGCTTATATTGATTAGCAATATCTTGTAAAACTTGCTTAGATTCTACATCAGATTCATGAATAAGCCCTACAACGTCTTTATCGAAATCTAAAAAAGCACCAAATTTTTTAAATATACATGCTCAAACTCATTGCAAACAGCTTCAAAAGTGTATCTCGGGCTGGGGGGGCTAGCATATATATATATATATATGTATGTATAATACATACAATTTTCCATATTGGTTCTTCCTTGCCATAGAATTTTCACCCTCAGGTTGACAGCAATCGTGGACTTGATGCTGACATCGATGCACAGAATGAACAGGGTGCAACCGCGTTGATTTTGGCGATCAAGGCAAGGCGACGCGCAGAAATTCAAACGAAACTCACAACATCTTTTTGCTTGACAAGTCAATGTTCAAACCAATGTCTGCATTAATGTGAACTGTGAACAGGTTCAACAATTCGAATTTGCCGATTTCATGGTCGAGTCCGATGCCGATTGCAACTTATTTGACTTCATATTTGAGTGCGCCGTTCTGGACTGATGTGGACAGCATGAGGCCAAGGCAAAGGCTTTGCTTCATGATGCAAATTCAATCCTGGTGCTTCAAGGCACATTGAAAACGAAGGATGGTTTTGATGCCATGGAGACCGAGGGTGGGGTGGCATGGAAATGCACGGGCAATGCATTGACAATGCAGCGCATGGGAAGTGGTCGTAGCTTGGAAGCCAAAGTGCCCAGCTTTTCAAATTGGCACCCTCTTCACAAACTGTGTAGGACAACCATGCCCTGTGGCACAAAACTTCAGTCACTCTCCAAGGCTTTCCAGACATTGGTTCCAAAAAGCAGGGTCTAAATTTAGCCTCTTTTCTTAGCCAAACCTGACCAACATCCTTAGCTCCCAGCTTGAATGTGATGTTTCTGTGTGGTTGTGCGCTTGCATGGCTGTGATATTTCCGGGTGTCCACAACTCAGTTGACATGGGCTCTGTGAGGAGACCGCTGAGAAGATGAGCTTTCTTGCAACCTCCCAGCAGATGGAGATGCGCTTGCGACATGAAGAGCGGGAGGACTTCCTCACAACTGCTTTCCAAACAAACTCAAATAAGCTGTGGTGTTCAAACTGCATATTCCAAACATATTCTAGACGTATTCCAAGCATATTCAAGACATTCCAGACATATTCCAAACATGTTCGAATCCAAACATATTCCAATTCTAAACATATCCCCAAAATATTCCAAACATATTCGAAATATTCCCAACATATTCCAATCATATTCCAAATATTCCACACGTATTCCAAACATGTTCCACACATGTTCCAAACATTTTCCGAACATATCCCAACCATATTCCAAATATTCTAAATATTCCACACGTATTCCACACATATTCCAAACATGTTCCAAACATTTTCCAAACATATCCCAACCATATTCCAAACATATTCCAAACGTTCCACACGTATTCCACACATATTCCAAACATGTTCCAAACATATTCCAAACATATTCCAGACATATTCCAACCATATTCCAAACATATTCCGAACATATTCCAAACATACTCCTGACATATTCCAGACATATTCAATACATATTCCAAACATATTCCAAACATATTCCATTCATTTTCCAAACATTTTCCAAACATATCCCAACCATATTCCAAACATATTCCAAACATATTCCAAACATATTGCAAACATATTCCAGACATATTCCAAACATATGCCAAACATCCCTTTGGCAGTTTCCTGTACGAAATCAGCTTTCTAGACCCCCCAAAACCAGGTTGATTTTGGAAGGATTCCTCCTTACAAAATCATACCCTAACATCCAGAACTGTGGGCGTAAAATCTAAATGGAAGACATGTGAAATATTTGGAAGATGGGAGGAATTTTGGAGCCATTTGTAGATGAATTGGGGGCTGATTTTGTAAGGAGTGAAATGTTCCCACGAACTCTTTTTGACGTGACACGATGAACGAAACATCGGCCGGGGGCATGTTGTTAAAAAGTAAAAAGCTCGCAACGTCAACTTCAGCGACGCATCATCACTGCAACGGTTTTTTTTCCGAAGGGCACCAACAACACAATCCAGCACTTTGTAGCAACCACTTGAAGAGGAGAAAGCAAAAAGGACAGGATTGATATGTTTCCCGTAGTAGGGTTTGATTCTGTAGTATGGTTATTATATTCTATTATAATCCCTGTTCCATTTTCCCTTACAGAATCACCGGGGCAGAGCCCGCGGAACCAGGTGATTTTGTAAGGAACTGCTCCTTATAAAGTCATGGTCTGATCTCCGGAATTATGGGCACAAAATCAGACAGGTACAAAACTGGAAGAGGGTTGGTCTTGGTTTGCAAAGAGACCAGAAGACCTCCGGGGCGGAACTTAGATTTTTTTTGAGGAAATTTGGTGCCAGTTGTGGATGCATGGAGGTGTGATTTTCAAAGCATTGAGGTTTCGCACAATAGGGTTTAATTTTGTAGGGTTATTATTTGGGCTCTTGGGTTTGAGACCATGGTTCGGACTGAGGGAACACACACACATCATTTCACAATGGGGCCTAGACAAAAACAATAAGCGTTTTTTCCCTACTAGTATCTGTTTCCTCTATGTTGAAAAGATTTGCATTTTAGGGGCTAAATTTCCCACCTAAACGCTCTGACCAACTACACGTCAGGGTTGATTTCGTATGCAAAATGTGATTGAAAGGGTTGTGCCCTTTGATTTTCGGGCCCAGGGATTGTGCTACAAAATCAAGGAGCACTGCCCAGGGAACAGCAAAATGAGTACAGAATCCAGGCCCAGTACTAAATCAATATATAAATGTGTTTGCGCGTTATTTTGATATATGTTGAATATGTTTAAAATGTTTTTTGGGTTTAATTTCCCACAGCAATGTGCTGACCAACTACATGTCCAGGGTTTATTTTGTAGAGTGAGGGACATGCTTGAAAACGTCGAGCCCCTTTGATTCTGTAATGAGAACACCCATCTTGAGGTCCAGCCCCCTGAATCATACCTACAAAACGTATTCCAAACATTGCCAAGCATATTCCAAGCATGTTCCAAACGATTTCCAAACATATTCCAACCATATTCCAGACGTATTCCAAACATATTCCAAGCATGTTCCAAACGATGTCCAAACATATTCCAAGCATGTTCCAAACGATGTCCAAACATATTCCAAGCATGTTCCAAACGAATTCCAAACATATTCCAAGCATATTCCAAACGAATTCCAAACATATTCCAAGCATATTCCAAACGTATTCGAAGCATATTCCAAACATATTCGAAACATGTCCAAACATATTCCAAGCATGTTCCAAACGATTTCCAAACATATTCCAAGCATGTTCCAAACGATGTCCAAACATATTCCAAGCATGTTCCAAACGAATTCCAAACATATTCCAAGCATATTCCAAACGAATTCCAAACATATTCCAAGCATATTCCAAACGTATTCCAAGCATCTTCCAAACATATTCGAAACATTTCCAAACATATTCCAAGCATATTCCAAACATATTCCAAGCATATTCCAAACATTTCCAAATATATTCCAAGCATGTTCCAAACGATTTCCAAGCATATTCCAAGCATATTCCAAACATATTCCAAACATATTCCAAGGCATATTCCAGACATATTCCAAGCATATTCCAAACATTTCCAAACATATTCCAAGCATGTTCCAAACGATTTCCAAACATATTCCAAGCATATTCCAAACGATTTCCAAACATATTCCAAGCATGTTCCAAACGAATTCCAAACATATTCCAAGCATATTCCAAACGATTTCCAAACATATTCCAAACATATTCGAAACATTTCCAAACATATTCCAAGCATATTCCAAACATATTCCAAGCATGTTCCAAACATATTCGAAACATTTCCAAACATATTCCAAGCATATTCCAAACATATTCGAAACATTTCCAAACATATTCCAAGCATGTTCCAAACGATTTCCAAACATATTCCAAGCATGTTCCAAACGATGTCCAAAGATATTCCAAGCATGTTCCAAACGAATTCCAAACATGTTCCAAGCATATTCCAAACGAATTCCAAGCATGTTCCAAACGATTTCCAAACATATTCCAAGCATGTTCCAAACAATTTCCAAACATATTCCAAGCATGTACCAAACGAATTCCAAACATATTCCAAGCATATTCCAAACGAATTCCAAACATATTCCAAGCATATTCCAAACGTATTCGAAGCATATTCCAAACATATTCGAAGCATTTCCAAACATATTCCAAGCATGTTCCAAACGATTTCCAAACATATTCCAAGCATGTTCCAAACGAATTCCAAACATATTCCAAGCATGTTCCAAACGAATTCCAAACATATTCCAAGCATATTCCAAACTAATTCCAAACATATTCCAAGCATATTCCAAACGTATTCCAAGCATATTCCAAGCATGTTCCAAACGATTTTCAAACATATTCCAAGCATGTTCCAAGCGATTTCCAAACATATTCCAAGCATGTTCCAAACGAATTCCAAACATATTCCAAGCATATTCCAAACGTATTCCAAACATATTCCAAGCATGTTCCAAACGATTTCCAAACATATTCCAAGCATGTTCCAAACGATTTCCAAACATATTCCAAGCATGTCCCAAACGATTTCCAAACATATTCCAAGCATGTTCCAAACGAATTCCAAACATATTCCAAGCATATTCCAAACGAATTCCAAACATATTCCAAGCATATTCCAAACGTATTCCAAGCATCTTCCAAACATATTCGAAACATTTCCAAACATATTCCAAGCATATTCCAAACATATTCCAAGCATATTCCAAACATTTCCAAATATATTCCAAGCATGTTCCAAACGATTTCCAAGCATATTCCAAACATATTCCAAACATATTCCAAGCATATTCCAGACATATTCCAAGCATATTCCAAACATTTCCAAACATATTCCAAGCATATTCCAAACTTCCAAACATATTCCGCATATTCCAAGCATGTTCCAAACGAATTCCAAACATATTCCAAGCATATTCCAAACGATTTCCAAACATATTCCAAGCAATATTCCAAACATATTCCAAATATTCCAAACATATTCCAAGCATGTTCCAAAATATTCCAAGATATTCCAAGTTCCAAACATATTCCAAGCATATTCCAAGCATATTCCAAACATATTCCAAGCATATTCCAAACATTAATCTTGTCAGAGATCAGATTATTTGTGTAGGAGCAAGAAGGAAAGTAGGGCAAGAAGGCGAAGTGACGCAAAGACTGCACAAAGAACTGCTTTTAGTGTCGTGTTCACATTGCCATTCGATGCTTCATCAAGAGGGAAGGCGAAAGGCGGGGCAGCTCAAGCTGCGGGCATGGGGTTCCTTTCGTATTGTGTAAAGATGATGAAAGATGCCCAAAGTGGAATTTGCAACAAGCATGGCTCTGAGCCAGCAAAGCTAAAACCAGAGGCAACTCGCCCAATTCGCCGAAATGCCCAAATCGCCGAAGAAAGGAGGAGGATCCTTATTCAAAATGATTGCTCCGTTTGCTGTTGGTTGCTGTTTTCGTGTCGTGGCATCAAGAATCAAGAGTTGTTCTTTTTGAACCCCGGCAAACGTGGGTTGGTCAGGACAAAGCCATCGAAGTAAAGCAAGTGGCAGCAGCAGTCCAGCCAGTGGTCCTAGCAGCCCAGCCAGTAGTCGAAGCAGCCCACGAAGTCAAGGTAGTCCAAGAGCAGCCCGCAATGCTAGGGACTGAAGCCCTCAAGGAAGCCCGCGTCAACACCAAGCCTCTGCGAGAAGTGGTGGTAGTCCACGGCAGGGCGGTAGCAGCCCACGACATGGTGGCCAAACAACTGCAAGAAGGCGGAAAAGCATTATGGATGATCATGATGATACCCAAGCATTTCAAGACCAAACCAAGCCGAAAACGTGTCGGGAAAAAGCCGAACCGCTGGCGCTCCTTCAGCTAGAGGGCGGCGTAAGAAAGGAACGAGCGGGACAGTCGAGGAAGATGGCGAGGTTTGAGGCTATGCCGGCTAAAACTGAGCCTTTGAATCTCATTTTCACGGTTGCAGCCCAAAGCCGGCCGCAACTGCGCGTTTGCTTTGACCGCTCGGAACACTTCGGGACGATTGATGCGTTGTAATCAAAGTTGAAGCAGGCGACTGGCTATCCGGCTAAGGCTGTTGAGTATCAAATAGGTTTGCAGTCCTTTTCGTAAGTTGACAGCTCTACGTGAACAGCCGAGTGGCAAGCTTGGTGCTGGATACGGACGGATAGAGATTAGCCAACAACACAGAAAGCACAAAATGAGGTTTTGCCAACCAATTGTGCAGCCCCTTGAGCTCTTGTGTACCAGGCGGATTTGCATAGCTGATTGCTTTCCAGTACCAGTTGCTGCAGAATTTCATATGGATGTTTTCTGGCATACTCGTAGCATAGTTTGACAACAGTAGATCGATTGGTTGATTTGCTAAATGTGTATATACAATATTATACAAGTATATACACGCATAGATTCATAGATGCATGCATGCATGCATCCATACATGACCTTGACGGCAGGTGTCCCTCCACGAGCAGCGGAGGCGGTGCCGCAGGCTTTGAAACGCACACGGAGCATGTTTTTGCCATATTATTGCAGCAGATGGCTAGATTGAAGCTCAAGAACCCGTTGTTTTTCAAGGGTCCAAGCTGTAGGTATTGCCTTGTACTTGATGTTGCGGACTGCAATGTGATGCCAGACACAGTTTTGTTTGGATAGATCACTGGACTGGATTTGAGACGTGTTGGCCAGCATCTTTTGACAATCTCAATCTCGTGATTGCAACTAAGTTGGCTTGCCTCCAAGGCTGCCACTGCACATGCCTTCCGCATGATAATTTGCTTTCGTCAATGCTCACCAGAATCGATCGTTGGCGATGTTGCTTGCATCTCGCATGAACAGGCTGTGAGTGTCTTCATTCGCAATGTCACCATGTCAGCGTCGGCGCTGCTCTTGGTTTCCCAGTTCTAACAGAAGGGTTAGCTGGAACGGAATCCGCTGTGCCCAGGACATAGAGAAATGCTGCAACGCCACAGAAAGGCTGAGTCCATTCGGTGCAGATGTCGGGGGTGAGTGTCCGTGTCTGTCAATTTGTCAATCTGCCAGGTTTCTTTGCCAGAAAACATCCAATGGCACTTGCGGTATCCCTGCCGTGCTGCAGCCAAGTTTGGAAGATTAGCTGTGCTGGACATGTTTCGAGACCAGCTGAGCAGAAAGCTTTTTTCCCGAGAGCGTCTGAGCGCAGGGTTCTTCCAATAGTGGGGGTCTGTAATACTGTGAAACATCTTCTCATCTTCACATCTTCTCATCTTGACATCTTCTCACCTTCAAATCTTCTCATCCTCACATCTTCTCATCTTCACATCTTCTCATATTCACATCTTCTCATCCTCACATCTTCTCATCTTCACATCTTCACATCTCCACATCCTCACATCTTCACATCTTCTCATCTTCACATCTTCACATCCTCACATCTTCTCATCTTCACATCTTCACATCTCCACATCCTCACATCTTCACATCTTCTCATCTTCACATCTTCACATTCTCTCTTGCCCTCTTGCTCTCTTGCCCTCTTGCTCTCTTGCCCTCTTGCTCTCTCCTTCTTTTCTATTTCTCTCTTGAAGGCGCGGGGCAGTGCCAACGAGACGGCACGAAACGCAACCCTTTCGCACGAAATGAGGTTCGAGCGCCAAAAACTGAAGTAAAATTGCGATTTCCAAGCCGTCCCGCGCACCCTTTCGCACGAAATGAGGTTCGATCGCCAAAAACTGGAGTACAATTGCGATTTCTGGCATCCAATCGCAACCCTTTCGCACGAAATGAGGTTCGATCGCCAAAAACTGCGGTAAAATTGCGATTTCTGGCATCCAACCCCAACCCTTTCGCAGGAAATGATGTTCGATCGCCAAAAACTGAGGTAAAATTGCGATATCACCGGTCCGGTCTCTGTGCGTAAAAGTGTTTGTGTGTAAAAGCGTCTGTGTGTAAAAGTGTTTGTGTGTAAAAGCGTCTGTGTGTAAAAGTTTCTCTGTGTAAAAAGCTTCTGTGTGTAAAAGCGTCTGTGTGTAACAGCTTCTGTGTGTAACAGTCTCTGCGTGTGAATGTGTCTGTGTAAAAGTGTCTGTGTGTAAAAGTGACTGCGTGTAAAAGCGTCTTTGTGTAAAAGTCTCCGGGTGTGAAGGTGTGTGTGTGTAAAAGCGTCTCTTTGTAAAAGCGTCTATGTGTAAAGGGTCTGCATGTAAAAGCTTCTGTGTGTAAAAGCCTCTGTGTGTAAAAGTGTCTGTGCGTAAAAGCGTGTGTGTGTGTAACAGTCTTTGCGTGTGAAAGTGTTTGTGTAAAAGTGTCTGTGTGTAAAAGTGTCTTTGTGTAAAAGTGTCTGTGTGCAAAAGCGTCTGTGTGTAAGAGTCTCTGGGTGTGAAGGTTTTTGTGTAAAAGCATCTGTCTGTAAAAGTGTCTGTGTGTAAAAGCGTCTATGTGTAAAAGGGTCTGCATGTAAAAGCCTCTTTGTGTAAAACGTCTGTGCGTAAAAGCCTCTTTGTGTAAAACGTTTGTGCGTAAAAGCCTCTTTGTGTAAAGCGTCTGTGTGTAAAAGTGTCTGTGTGTAAAAGCGTCTGTGTGTAACAGTCTCTGCGTTTGAAAGGTTTGTGTAAAAGTGTCTGTGTGCAAAAGTGTCTGTGTGTAAATGCGCCTGTGTGTAAAAGTGTCTGTGTGCAAAAGCGCGTGCGTGTGTGTGTGTGTGTAAAAGTCTGTGTGTGTAAAAGCACTCAAAATGACCGCACTGTGCGGCGCTCAGAATTCGATGCATGAAGACACTCCAAATTATCCAATCACTGGCTGGCCCGTGCGAGCTGCCCGCCCAACTTGCCGAGATATAGTTTCGCAGCTGTAAGGCAAAGGTGGCAATCATCTATAAACTTGTAATATCTTATAGCAACAGTAGCACAACCAGAGCTGTCTGAGCGTGCTGCATCTGTCGCGGACTCAGGTTCCCCGTGTGTTTTTTGCTTCAGGTCGTTTCACCTATGCATAGACAGTATCTGTGTTGAAACATCCGGCTGCATTTACTATGCGTTTTCCATGTGACATGATCGAAGTTGTTGTTCATTGTGATCTTTTCAGCCACGCAGCAGTTCTGTAGCACAACCAGAGCTGTCTGAGCGTGCTGCATATGTCGCGGGCTCAGGTTCCACGTATGTTTTTTGCTTCAGGTCGTTTCACCTATGCATAGACAGTATCTGTGTGGAAAACTGTCAGACTGTGACTACACCCGGCTGCATTTACTATGCGTTTTTCATGTATTTGTTGTTCGTTGTTATTTTTTCAGCCACGCAGCAGTTCTGTACCATTTCCGCCTGAGGCACTCACCATTTAGATGCTGCGACGCTACACATTCTAGCTTTGGTGCAAAAGCGTCTGTGTGTAAAAGCGCCTGTGTGCACAAGCTTCTTGATGTAAAAACTGCTGTGTGTAAACGCGTCTGCGTGTAAATGCATGTGTGTGTAAAAGCGTCTGTGTGTAAAGACGTCTGTGTGTAAAAACGTCTGTGTACAAGCTTCTTTGTGTAAAAACGTCTGTGTGTAAAAGTCTCTGTGTGCAAAAACGTCTGCCTGTGAAAAGTTCTGTGCGTGAAGAAACTATACGAAAGATACGATGCAAACTATTGTCTTGTGTTTGTGATATATTGTCTTGATACTACTCTTCTCGTCTGCCTATTATACATTGATAATATATTGTCTTCTAACATCGTGTTTCCATACTAACAACAGAAGATTCTGCTCCTCTATGCTCTCGGGCCATCCGTCGTCTAGTTTGTCTCCTGACAGCCCGTGTGGAGCGAAGTGGGCTGCAATGGCACAGCGCCGCTGAGTGAAGGAGCACAGTGAACACAGATAAGCTGAACGAGCTGAGAATTCGAAGTGGTTGGCAGCCTTTAATGCTTCATTCGGTTGGGCAAATTTATTTGATCATTTGCAAGGTTTCCTGCAACCCCCAGAGAACATGTTGCTCTTCAAAGAGATGTTGTGATGTTTAAAGTGTTTCTTGAGGTCAGCCTTAGGCTGCTTTGTCACTGTCTCTAAAGGACCTTTACGCAATGGCACCTGCATCGATCGGGAAGGCTAGGGCAGAGATCCGGATTTCTAAAAGTGTCCACAGAGGTTGGCGATGCGAACCATCGGCCATCAGATGTGCCGCTGAGTGCAGGCGAGCGGGATAGCTCTTCTCCAAGCTCCGCAGGCTCTTCTGGTGGCCCGCCAGGGGCTGATGGTTTCACTTTGCCCCTCATCTCCCACACTCCCACGTCTACGAGTTGTACTGATTCTTGTGAATCAGATTGAATCATAGTGTAACTACTTGTATAGTTAATTGTCATTGTCATTCAAGCTCAAGTGGTGGAACAAGGTCGCCAGTGAAATACAGCTGACAGATCGACAGATCTGACTGTACGATGTCGCACCAGAAAACTGCTTGGCCAAGGCGTGCGCAGCTTCATGCTCCTGCCTCATTTGCGGTTGGACATGGTATATATGAGATCAGACCTCCACCAAAGTTTCAAGGATATTAATTTTTTGATTCGAGGATTTTGGATGTTCGATCAGATGCAGCTAGCTTCACACCACTTCCATGTTTTTGCAAGTTTGGAGCTGCCCCTGAGTGCTCCTTGAGGCCTTAGTGGCAAGAGGTCGGATTTTGCTGAAGCGCAACACGCAGGATGTGGTCCTTTGGCTAAAAGGAGCTTGTGCGAGCTCTTTCTCAGACAGCCAATCGGTTTTCATCGGTTTTCTATTTCATCTCTTTGATGCAGCTTAAACGACAGAGATATAGCACTCAGTTCATTCCTTCTGTTGCAAGAGAGAAAACTGTGATGAAATGTGATGAGTTCTTTCATAAATATATGAACGACATATCATGCAAATTAAATTCGCAGTCGTTCTTAATCTCTAGGCGGAGATGTCCAAAGCCATCAACAACTGCGAGAGGTGCCAAGGGGAAGCGCCAATGGGACAATGGGCCACAAGCCACAAGTTACGCCAAGTTCTGCCAAGTTATGCCACCTCAACCGCAGGTTTTTTGGTGGTCTTTCCACGGATGCGAAGGCCTGACGGGCCTGACTGCCATGGTCTATCTCAGCAACGTTTATGCCACGGATGGATGTTGACTGAATTCTTGGAATCTCCTGCAGAAGCGATGTCACAGTCTTTGCATCCTCCGGTTCCTGCGATACATTCCTGCTCAGCTTAGATCCATAAATAGACAGAAACCATGGATTGGTTGTTGATTCGCTGCAACGCCACATCAGGTGAGGGAATGAAGGGTAGGCCTATTCAGAAGCTACAAACAATACACATGGAAAGACAGCACTTGGAGAGAAGAATGCAGAATTGCCGCTTTTGCATCAAACATCTCCGTTTCCTTTCGCAATGACCGAAAGGATTCGCAGTCTTTGCCGGGATGGATTCGGGCGCACGGCGCTTGCAAAGAGATCTCAAGCAGATCCAAGAAGATGGAGCGTCAAAGATTTTTGCAACAGCCCGCGGTGATGATCTCTCTGTTTTGGATGCCCTGGTGTTGGGGCCTGCAGACACCCCATATGATGGCGCCTTGCTCCACTTCCAGCTCAACATCCTTCCAACGTATCCCATGAATCCCCCAGAGGCTCTGGGTAGATGAACGACCCTGTATGGTTTTAGTATGTTTTAGTCTTCTCATACAGACCTTTACAGAATCACGTCTCTTTACTGCTTTAGATGCTTTAGTCGCGTAGACCTTGACCAACTTGAGACGCTCCACACAGGTGCGGTTTCTCACCACAGACTCGGGAACTCTGCGTTTGCATCCTCAACTCTATGCAGATGGCAAGGTGCGGCCATTGCGGCCATTGCATCATCGCATCATTCGATGTTGCTTTGTTTTGCTCCTCCTTCATCATCTTCATCCAATGAACATTTGTCCACGGATTTGGTGCCATGCCGCACAGAAACGGCCAGACTCCACCTTGCTTGACGGAGTGACTGACGCACAAATGCCTGCAAGTGAGTTTTGTTTAGTTCGTAGCTTGATCTGAACAGTGGACCGCAGGTATGTCTTAGTATATTGGGCACTTGGCACGGCCCGCGTTGGACGCCCAGCAGCTCAATCCACACTATCTTACTGTCCATCCAGTCCCTCCTTTGCGAGGACTGTCGGCAGCCAGCGGCATGTTGTATTTTGTTGCATGTTGTACGGCAATGATGTTCCATGATCAGTTCTGAGAGGACCCTTTGCGTTGCGAGCCTGGCATGGAAACAGCCACAGATGAGAAAGTGGAGTTGGCCAACGTCTTTGTCGTTCACGAGTGCGTCCGAGTTGGCGCCAGTATCTCAGATCGTGTGGGTGCAGCTTGCCTTAAACTTCTGAATACGTTTGAACTACGCCAGTGCCTGGAGTTTTTCAAGACATGCGAAAGAAAGACATGAACACATTTGTGTAGCCATGTGTTGTTGAAGGTTTTACTAGCCATCCAAGTCTGTAGAGTCCAGCCGCAACAAATGGTGTCAGATTCTTGGCATGCTGGAGAACGGGCCATCCTGGGATGACGCAAGGATCTCAGATTCTCGAGATGTCCAGGTTTGGAAGGCAGATTATGTGTTTGTGAAATACACTATGGATGGAACTGTCAGTGGTGGTACAAGTGATCTTGCTTAGACCGCCTCGTAGATTCGCTGGCTGTCATTCCTGCACACTGCCTGGCAAAGAATGAGCAGAATTTGTTGTAAATGAAGTTTCTTGGTTTTCACAAAAGAAATCTCTTTCTCCTTGCCTTGGGAACATCGGCTGCTTGACCCTTCTGCTTTTCTAGTGCCGCTACATGCAGGAAGGTGATGAGAGCATCCTCACAGCTGCTGCTAGAGCCGGGCAGCCAGATTTGAGTCTCACTGTTGGGGCTTCAGAGTCTGCATTTTCATGGCATCCGTATTTTGCTTGAGTCCTATCTAGTCTCATTCAGCCTGGTTCACCGGATGTTGAGGAATCATGGAAAGAGCTGTTGATACCAGTGTTTAAGGCGTTTAAGGTCATGCTTTTCTGTTGTGCAAGTGATTTAGGCTCTAATCCCCGCTTGCTGCTTTGCAGTGTTGAGAAAAGTCAGGAAATTGTCGGAGCTTTGGCCAGTTTTAGCGCGCTAGTCTTTGGCTCAAGAAAGCAGACCGGCGAGTAGAAGTGAAGAAGATTTGAGATGTCCAACGCAGCCTGGCCTTACCTTTCACTGTATGTCCCATGTACAGTGGCAGTGTGGGAAGCTCCACCAGTCGTAATCTTGTTGAAGAGCCCTACTAGTAGGTGAGCTGAAGAGTCCAGGAAGCGCTTAGATACTCTTGAGCAGATTGAAGTATGGACAGTATGGATATTTGATTTTGGCTGAAGCTTCTGTAAATATGTGGAAAACCATGGAAAACCTGTGCCCAGGATACAATGACAAAGTTGTTGTGTTGGCATTTGAATGCTTGAATTGTCTTGAGTTTATGCTTACGAAATGAACGCAATCTCCTCCCCGTGAAAACTTGCAGCAAATATCCAAGGCAGTTTTGGCAAAGGCACTTGCAGCAAAGCTGCTGGATGTGCAAGAGCACGGCGTGGTGCGACCCTCAGCTTGAGATCACAGGAGTTTCTTCAAACAGGGTATCTTCAGAATTTCATCATTTCTTATATGCTGGTTCCTAACTTATATAAAGCCACCCAATTTTAGGAAACCAATGAAAAGCAAAGATGTGATCTGGATAAGCATTTTTCATCACACTATCCAGTTGCGATCGTTCGATCAGGTTGTGACCGCTGGGAGAGATGAAAAGTGACTGGGACCTTTGACATACGTTTGCTGAGGATCTGTCGTTCGACCCGATCAAGTCAGCAACAGGCAGCGAATTCATGGGTTATTTTTTTTCTCGCAGATGCACAACAGGAAATGACGAACAAACTTGGACAGCAGCCATGAAGTTCACCTCTGGAAATATTTGTGACATTGATAAGAAGGAGTCAATGGCAGCACAACTTCAAGCTTTGTGGTTTCTTTGAAGGCAGCGTGTCGCCGACTGCATCAACTGCTTCAGAGGTAGCCTCCACGTTTATTTCAAAAGGAATGTGTTGGTCTCTTGCCAGGGAGGTGGTTTTCGTAAAAAAGATCTCCTCCCACGCGCTCTCCCTGCCATCGGCTGGGGTCGGCGGATGTACCGATATTGGGGGGATGGTTATCAAAGTTATCAATCCAATAGAGGGATTTTCATCAATCATGCAATAGGAATTATACCTTTAATGGGTAATGCCCATTTTAAGGGTTCCCAGTATGGAATGGATGACCACCCCCCATATACAGTAGTATGTGTTGCACCTAGCACGTATGTTTTGACTTATAGCTTACAACTTACAACATAACATAACATAACTGCAATAACATACTGGTGACATAAGATGAGACGAGACAACATCCATCCATCCATCCATCCATCCGTCCGTCCGTCCGTCCGTCCAACCATCCATCCATCATGTCCATCTATCGGTTGATCATGATTGACCTATCTATTAGATATAATATAGATTAATATAGTATAATATTATATATATATATATTATTTACGATCCTAGCCTCTTTAAAACGCCTTTCTGCGCCAAGATGACGTATAGAACATAACTCATGTTAAGAACTATGTTGCAAATGACGTTGAAAATTCTTATTGGTTCCAACTTATATGATCTTATGTTAAGAGCTATGTTAAACATGACGTTGCAAATTCTTATTAACTCCAAATTATATGATCTTATGTTAAAAGCTATGTTAAACATGACGTTGCAAATTCTTATTAACTCCAAATTATATGATCTTGTGTTAAGAGCTATGTTAAACATTGAGAAGGAGGACGGAGCCCCAACTTGCACAATGGCGGAGTTGGTGAAGTGTGCCGGTGAATGCTACAGCTTTAAGCCGGAGGACCTCAAAGGTATGTCCGTGAGATGGTTGCTGAGGTGATTGCTACAGAGAAATCGCAGGAAGACGGTGACAAGAAAGCACCGAAGAAGAGCAAAGGCAGCCAGCCCATGAAAAATGAGAAGGTGAAAGACAGTGAACAAGAGCGAAGAAAAGACAAGGAAAAGAAAGACAATGGAAAGAAAGACAAGAAGCAGAAAGTTGCCAAAGGCAAGAAAGACAAGAAGGGCAAGTGACCGAGACTAGGGGTGCTGTCGCAGAAAAAATGCTGCTTGTTCCCTGTGACGTCAGGTTGGGGTATAGATATATATTTTTCATATTTATTATAAACAATTAATAATACTGTAATATAACTGCATGTAAGCAAGCAGATTACCAAATTTCTGTTTTAATTGCTAGACCTAGTAGGCCAGGGGATTTATAGCAAGAACAGCACAAATTCTCACAGAATCATTCATGTGATCTCTCTAATTTTCTTTTGTCTGATATCTCTGGAACCTGATTTCCAACGTGGTTCCAAACATAGTTCCCAACATAGTTCCCTACATATACGTATGGGTGTTTAGATATCCACAGAGAAAGAGGCTAAGATTATATATAATATATATAGTATAATATTATATATATATATTTAATATTATATAATAATAAATGATAATACATATATGAATATATATATGCATAAGTAAATAAATAAGTATTAATAATATTACTAACGATATTATTAATAATAATATAATAACATTCTTAATAATAACTAATGATAATAGTAACAGTAATTAATACATATATATATATATATTTGACTTATGCGGTTCTGTGATGATGTGTGCACGTGTTGAACCAGATACAATTTCTCGCCAGGATGCAGCTGCAGACATCAGCAGCTGCATCTCAGAGGAGGACTGCGGTGAAAAACTCAGAAGAAGATCGACGTTTGGCGCAACGCCCTGGAGTGGACATGGCTCTCAAATGTTGCGTTCACAATACCTGTACCTGATATCCTAGAGCTTCGGAAAAAATAACACGCACACAATCTTTTGAAGATAGTGCAGACAATCCTTCAAAGACACTGCGTGAAAATTACACTAGCCCAAAGTCTTCAGGGTTCCACACCCAGTCAAACTTATTGACGCTGAGGCAGCAAGGTCTCAAAACCTCGCTTTCTGAACTCTGTGACTCTATCCCAGATCGATTGGAGCAGGCAAGGCTTTCCTGTCATGCTTGCTTTGGCCCCCATGAAAGCAACCTTTCAGATCCTTTCAGGCTAGCAAAAATGCAGGCACGGATCCTGGGGTCCAGCATTGCTGGCATCGGGATGGAGAAGGGTATGGACGAGTTGAACATAGTTGAACTACAGCAAATCTGTTAGATTCTGTTAGATTCTGTCAGATGTGTTGAATGGTCGCTTTGTGGTCAATTGGATTACTTTCCGACGTGTTTGCGGTCCACTGATTGCTGCATTGAGTACTTCCGCGGTGTCGATACTTGGCACTCCAAAAGCAACGTTGGAAGACCCTTCAAGGTTTGTGAAGATATGTGAGCAGTGTTCAAAACCCCTGTCGGCTGATGATGAGTTCGGGAGTTGTACAACATTTATATTGGATTATTGGGGATTATCCTCCATGCATGCCATGAACTGGGAATATCTGGGAATCGTTCTTAACTGACCATATCCAGTGATGACGCTGCCAGGAGTGGAGGACCGAAATCCAACTGCGAGGTGTACCTCCTTCTCTTTGCAAGCCCGGAGCTATGGAGGTGCCACGACTGCTTTTGTTAGCCTCCATAGACCAGAGTATTTTCAAGGTTTCTCAGACCATCTCAGACCACATGAAAACTTACCAGAGTATTAGTAGCGCAGAAGATTTTGGTGAAAGGTCTATGTTCATTTCCTTAGAGATTTAGTATATTTAATTCCGTTTGTCTTTTTCTGTTGTCTGAAGGCATTTCTGAAAGCCAACGGCATGGAAGGTGATGTGGACAAGGTGATCGGTACTTTCGTGCTGAAAGGATGGACTTTGTTTGGAGAACATTGATGGGAAAAAAACAAACGGCTACAATGGTAGCAGATATGTGGTGCATTTTGGCTGAACTACCTTATTTGAAGACCTGGCTTGTGTGTGAGAAAACTTAGTCGGGGAGGCAAGTTGATAGTTGCAGACCCCTGATGCGTTTCAAGTCTGTCAACCTGTTGGTCCAGGTGAAAGTATCGTTGAAGGCGAATGGACGCCATGGGAATGCTCTTCTTCAAGTCCGGTTCCCAAGGTTCTCAGTTTGGCAAGAGAGTGTGACTGTCTAGTTACATGGCGGAGTTTGGGGATGGTTGCTTCCAAGACGAATTGAAGCAGTTGAAATGAAGTGCATTCCTAAAGAATCCTAAAGAGAGCTAGAAGTCATTAGAAGTCATTAGAAGTCGAAGGTTGCCTGAAATGCTGTTTGAAGTTTGCCTGTGAGATCCTGAGAGTCGTCCAAGGCTACATCGACACAGGCTGTTGGTAGACTATCCAGGCCAGACTTTCATGGAACATCACGGCATAGGGATGACTTCATCAACCGTAGACCTTGGCATACCTCAGCTTCAGTGTCGCAATCCGCCAAGAACACAGATGTCTTGATTGGCAGAAATCCAGACGTTGAGGGTCTTCACCATCGAGCGCAATGTTTCTTGTTCAAACCACAAGGATCCACAAGGATAATTCTCTCGAAAACAACAAAACTGAGTTGTGACTGACTTCGCAAAGGAAAAGTGCTTAGCCCCCAACTGTTCTGACACTTATGGAATCTTATGGATGCATATCAATGAGTTGTATTGTCAAAGGCAGTAGATGCCTGAAATGGGGACCAAGCTCTGCGGGTATAAAGAAATGTGATATGAGATAGTACGAGATGATATCAGGATACCTGAGGTGTTGGCCAATTTGCGGCGCAGTCACTCTATTTTCACTGCAGTTTTGGTATGTCTTGAGCTTTTGGAGCCATTTGGACAGGTTCTTCCATGGCAGACAATTACCTGGATCTCGCTTGCCCATTGCCGTGAGCTTCTCTGAAAGCAAGGTGCCTTGATACCTCGCATTACCTCACTTCAATGCACGTCTCTCGGTTCTTTTGATCTCTTTCCTATATGGTTTCAGAATGTGCGTGGATTCTATGTATACTGAGCGAGGAGAAGGTTTGATAACCTTCCGCGGAAGTTTTGGCCAACTGATGCCAGGCTGCCAAGTCAAATGCAAAGCCCAAGAAAGCTCCAATGAAGCTCTGCGTACCTTGGGATGTTGGAACTTGTGCTAACTGGTCTTACTTCCACAATCGACTCCAATCGAAACCACTGGAAAGTTTTATGCCAATTGATGCCAATCGCATGTGTGAGTGGGTGGATTACATGGATGTAAACAAATCGCTGCAAAGCTCAGCGTACATTTAGCACAGGTGTGAGGCGAAAGGACACACAAAATGAGTCTGGCGACAAGAGGTTCGATCAGACAAGTAAGAAAAGGGTGTATTTTTTTTTGGGAGGGCTATTTATTTATTTTTTTCTGGCAGGTTTTGTTTATTTTTTGGGTTCCTGGTTCTATGCTTTCCTGTTTCTCTGCTTTTCTGCTTCTCTGCTTTTCTGCTTCTCTGCTTTTCCTGCTTCTCTGCTTTTTGCTTTCCCTACTTCTCTGCTTTTCCTGCTTCTCTGCTTTTTGCTTTCCCTGCTTCTCTGCTTTTCCTGCTTCTCTGCTTTTCTGCTTTTTGCTTTTCCTGCTTCTTTGCTTTTCTGCTTCTCTGTTTTCCCTGCTTCTCTGCTTTTGTACTTCTGTGCCTTTCTACTTCTTCTATTCTACTTTTTCTTTTCTTCAGTCATGTCTTTTTGCTGCGCTACTTCCTGCTCCTTTGCTTCTTTGTTTCCTGTCTTTATCGTCTCTTTGTTTTTCATTTTCTTTTGATTTCTTCTGTTCTGTTTGTAATCCTAAATGAAACCCTAGAGAGACCCTAGGTGAAACCCAAAGAAACCCTAAAGAAATCCTGATAAGAAACCCTACATGAAAACCTAAATGAACTCTAAAGAAACCATAAATGAACCCTAAAGAAACCATAAATTAATCCTAAAGAAACCATAAATGAAACCCTAAAGAAACTTTAAATGACACCCTAAATGACATCCTTGGGAACCTTGGGAACCGTGGACACCTTAGGAACCTTGGAACCCTTGGGAACCTTGGGAACCTTGGAAGTGTTGGGAACCTTGAAAACCTTGGAAATGTTGGGAACATTGGGAACCTTGGGAACCTTGGGAAACTTGGAACCCTTGGGAACCTTGGGGAACCTTGGGAACCTTGGAAAGCTTGGGAACCTTGAGAACCTTGGGAACCTTTACTTGGGAACCTTTACTTGGAAACCTTTACTTGGAAACCTTTACTTAGACTTGGGAACCTTGACTTGGGAACCTTTACTGGGGAACCTTGGGCGAATGGGTTTTGGAGCTGCTCCGGTCTGCTCCGAAACCTTTACTATGGCTGAAGACCCCAAAGCTTCTGCTGTTGGGGAAAAAAATCCAAAAACTCTTCTTCCCCTTTTTTTTGCTCAGGGGCTCTGATTTAATAGACCCTAATAGACCCATTTCATCCCAGTTCCCGAATAACGGTGGTTGGTTTTAGGGATTAGGGGTCGGACCCCCGGGAGTTCCAGATGTGACGGCGCTCGACTCAGGATCCTTGGCAGGTACAGATTGACCTGTCCCCTTCTCAAGGCTGGGTCCGGGTCTCGTCAACCAAAATCGTCCCAATCCGTGTTTGTTTCATCAAAATAATAGGTAGACAATCTAATGATATGTTTATATTTAGTCTATATATTCATGAATATTTAGCATGTGTTTAAAATACTAGTTAGGAGTTGGACTGCATATTTTCGGGAAAACTGAACCAGGACATGTCATCAAGTTTTCATGAAACCCGAGAGGGAAGTGGAGCCCAAGCCCCCTCAGCAAGACACGGACACGACAAGGCTGGGTGCAACCACCTCCAGGTTTGGAAGCCGTCGCTTTTGTCAGATTCTTGGGTCGTTGTTCTGCAGTGCAAAACTTTGCCGTGATGGCCGTGCTGGTAAAAGTTGACAGTTCATTCTGGAGTCAACCTATTCTTTGATGCCAAGTTTCCAAAGGGTTTCCAAAGGCCTCACTCTTCCAAGGTGGACATGGGCATTGGTGGTCAAGTGCCAGCTGCGGAAGTGGCATATGCATAAGCCGTACGTTAGCTGGGAGATTTTGTAAGAGGACAGCTTCATTTGTTTTGCATTTTTTTTGTTTTTTTTGCCTGTCTTCAGGGTTCAGGTTCCTGGACTCTTTTGGACTGAAGATGTAGAGCTTACCGTCGGAGCCAGGACAACGCAGCACATCCGTACAGCTTGTGGACACCCATGGACGGGGTGAATTATAAGACTTGTGTATTACAGACTTTAGCATGCACGGCAAACATGGCTGTGTGAACGGATTTGTGTAAAGGCGAAGACGCTTGCGTTGTCGCGACTTGTTGTTGCTTTCTTGAAGTTTCTGATACATGTGCGAAGCCCGTCAAATCCGGGCGGTACAGGCGGCGCGGGCAAAGGATTTGTTCTAGAACGCGCTGAAGGATACTCAAGGATACTCAAGGTTCAATTGGTTCAACCGGTCTCCTTGGAAGCCTTTGACGATGTCCCGCTCGTGCCATTCTTGTTTCAGCAATTCAACCTTTTTGGCTTGTACAGGGAATCTCTCCATCGGTGCAGCAGTTCATCGAAATCTGAAAACAAGACGGTGGTTGAGATGACAAGTAGCTTTGCCTGTCTCTGTAGATTGTGTATGAATTGAACGCCCAACTTCAAACTGCTGAAGCTGCTGTTTTGGCTGTTTGATTGTACTCGAGTTGCTATCATTGCACTATACACAAAGCTGTCAACTCTAGATGCAGCTATAGATGTGCAAAATTGCAAAATCGTTGCCATAGCTTTAGCACAAAAGATAGGCAAAAAACATGTTGCCATGAGTTTTCTGCGCTGACTTGAAGAGCCTGCTCCATGGTCTTGGCCATTTGCAGTCGGGGTTCGTCAGGCGCACAGTTCCTAGCTCCAAGAGCATTTCAGCAAGGCTTTGGATGCCTTTTAGAAGGGCCTCTCTGCCTTGCGGCTTCTGATTTTCGACGGCAGGACAAGGTAAGGCATTGAGTTCCAGATGATAAAGAATCTCTGTCTTGCCTTCTCCCAGCGCTCATCAAATAAATATTAGCGCTTTCTCTTTCTCTGCCGGATGTAGCGCATGGAGTCTCTTAGAGGGACCCCAATGTGATTTCCTTGTTGATTTTCGAGATACTGAATATTTCAATGGCAATACCCAGCAGGAATTGTGTGTGTCTCACGATACCTGTGCCGGGAAAAAATGAAGAAGACGGGTGAAAAATGCATGCAGATGCTGGTGTCGGGCAGGGTAGCGGGCCGATTATTTGTTCTGATTGAGCAAAAAATGTGAAATATTGCAATTACAGGGCCCAGGCAGCTTCTCCAAGTTCCGGCCTTCGCTCTCTTTCCTTCTTCTGGACTTCGTGAAGTTTGCATTTCCATACTTGATTGCAGGAATTGGGAAAGTGAATTCTTCTTGAAAACCTGAAGATATTGAACCACTATTCCACTATACATAGTCGCTTCGGTTCCTGCCAGCTCCAGTTTTGAGATCGTTTGAGGCCTATTTACCATCGCGTGCTGGGACTCTCTTGTGGCGGTTGAGCAATCTTGCTACCCGCTTTGATGGTCAGGCAAGATTCCGTGAATTCCGTGCTCGATTCTTTTTGCTTGGTTGCCGTGGTTGTGGTTGCTGCGGTTGCTGTGGTTGCTGTGGTTGCTGTGGTTGCCGCTGGGTTCCAGACTCCTTGGCTTAGCAGCGTAGCTGTTGCCAGAAAGGTGATGCGTGAGCCTTTTGTCTTCGGTGCTGAGACAAGGTCCAGGCAGGGTAGATCCAGTGGTGCAAAGCCTGAGGCGACGTTTCCTGCAGGGATTCCTGCAGTGGTAAGATTGCTTCATTGTGTTTCAAAAGAACAACTGGGAAGAAACTGCCTACATTTTTTTCCGGATTGTACTTGTCTGAAGCCGGAGGCGATATGACTTCAGCGGCGTCTGACTCAGGCTCAAATACTTTGAATATTACTGTTTTGAGCAGCAATGTCAAGCACCACTTCTCCGGCTTGTAGAATGAAAAGCCTTGTGATATCTTGTGATATTGTAATCACATTGAGGTGCTGCAGGAATTGTTCCATTGGCAATCCAAGCAGCTGAAATTGGGCCAAGGCCTGGCAAGACGTCTTCAAGTGTTCTTTCCCACTGTGTTTGGGGCCCAAGTGACCATGGCATACCATGGCTACCAAGTCAGCAGGTGGTGTCAACAAAGCATCTTCCAACTTTTGCCCCGTGGCAAAGGTCTGTGCCTCCACAGGAACCACAGAAAACACAGGCCGGCTGCAGATGACCTGATAGCTGGTGGAACAAGAAATGAAGAGACGGCCCATGTGTAGAGTCTAGAGCATGGAGTCTTGGAATATCTTGGAATTTTTATATACAATTTAGATCAATTTAGCTTTATGTAAGACATAAGCATGACTCATGACTCATCATGATTCTTTTCAAGAAGAGGAGCACTCAACATGTTGAAATCATTCAGAATGCAACTCCGGCCTCCTGGCATGCGCTGGCTTTAAAATTGGGTTGCCGGCCACCTGGAGTTCGCAGGTGACCGCAGGTGTACATTATACACACTCCGTCTGTTTGTGAATACTGCTTACGTACCCGCCTGGTTCCCTACCTACCTGCCTATACCTACTTGCCTGCCTGCCTGCCTGCATGATTTTCGCATGAATATGATGTATGTACAATGATATGCTGCGGCTATCCAGTATGAAGGCGCTCTTCCTTTTTGAACACAAACAATATATATATATAGATATATATATACATACCTATAGGTATCCTGTACAGAGTCTCGTAGTCATGTGCTGACATGCACTGCACAGTCTACTATTGGACTCTGCAGATTTCTCTTCAAGTGGTTCGGTTTGTCGACAATGATACCGGACATTCAGGAGCCAGATTGCCACGAGGTGGCACCTGAAGGCAGGATTGTTGGGAGTCGAATGTTTGCCCTGATGGGAACCTTGGTTCAACATGGTTCAAGAACTTAACTTCTGCCGTTGCGTCCGACCTTGGTCTATTCGTGAGTGCACAAGCAATCATCGGAATGTGAAAAGATGGACTTCATCATCAGGATGTTCCCATCGTAGACTTCATCCTCTGATCAGGTTCTGAGCTCCCACGTACAGAGGCCAGAAAGTGTGAAAGTGGCCGTGCTTCTGCCTTGCAAGACAATTGACACTGGACACGCAACCCAGAGTTGCAAGCTCATGTATGAGAATCTGTACGTGTATGATCATATGATCATATATGATATATGCATGGTTATGCATCAGTTTCTGATGCAAACACCCACACAGATTCATAGTTTCAGGATGCAGAACTTTGCTGTCGGATTTGCCATCTGACTGCAGAAGAGCCCAGCTCCTAGTAGCTCAACGACCACTCCAACGGCACGAAGTGATCGAAGATAGAGAAGCTTTGATTCAGCAAAACTATCAAAGTTTGATTCAAGACACGAGAAGAGCTGGTTTGAAAATAGAGTGAGTGATTACCCCAATTCCACCTGTTTATCACCATAAAAATCATTTTCAAACAAACCCTCGCAAAAGCATGTCAATTTCTCGTGCCTAAGGAGCGACTCCGCTCTTATCGAGCCGTGCCAATGTGCCGGCAGCATTCGCTGTGCTCACTCGAGCTGTCTCGAACTTGGGTCCAGCAAGTTGTTAAACTTGCTCTGCAGAAATAATGCACTTGGCGACAAACTGGAGTTTCAAACTTGCTGAGCCTTGAATCGTGGTTTGAGATGGTTTGAGGATGTTTGAGGTCTCATTGACTGGCTGAAGCACACTGGTGCTATTACACAGAGCGAGTGGCGTCAGAAGCCAAGTGCAATCCAGACAAATCAGTGGATCTCTATTTTAACTTATCCCACGAAGCAATTAAACCATCCATCCGGAAATATCGTCACTGTAGCGTGCCACTTGCCTACTTCTGAGTGGATTTAGACTTCCATAGATTTTCAGTAGCTCAGGCTGCGATCTGTGCTTGGCTGCTTTCCGAGTACAGTCTATGCCGGGCAAACCTCCGGGGCGAAGGCATGAAGGAGGGAACTTTTTAAGGAACATATTCAACCTGTCTTCGCTGTGAGTCACTGGCAGTTGACACTTTTGAGGCTACTCCATCGCTCGTTGCTGGAGTTTGTTGACTTTCAAATCTCTTCAGAGTTCTGCCCTTGAAACTTCAAGTTGATTTGTTGCAGTAACTTTGCTGACTTTCCTATAAAGGGACGAGATGAGCTGCATTGAGGTGTTCAGGTTTGGTGACGGTGTTGTTGACATCCATTCTGCAGACCTTGCTGATGTGCGTCGGCCTTGCCCTTAATGTGGGTCGGGAATGGGGCGACTAGAAACGACTTCTTCCCATCGAGGTTCTGGTGTTGCCAACATTCTGTACCTTGCTGCTCCCCTAGCTGCCTATGGATAGAACAACAGGTTGGGCTTGATTTCTTGGGGGCCACAGCAAAATGGATTGATATGTATTGATCTTGTTCATGACCAGCAGAATGTGTGGTGGCCCATACCTGCTAACTGATGAAGCTTGAGGTGGCCAATATTGTGCTCTCGCCTGTGGTCACTGCCATTTACAACATCCTAAAGTGGCCACTGGTGCGCCGTGAAAGATGATGTAGACCAGCAATTGCATGAAGCTTCATTATTTGTCCCGAGCCAAACTCCATGTTTTGAGCTTCGTTTAAGGCATTGCCTGCCATTCTGCTGGACTTCGTCTTACACAGCATGTACGCGATCTTGGTTGGGGTGAAGGCGAGAGGTCCTTTTGGGTCCTGCCGTTGTGAGGAGGTGTCGGCAACCTGCCCTTGGCTCAGCGTGGTCAGGTGGCGATGTTGATTTCAGGTTGGAAGTCCAGGCTGGGTGGTTTCCTGCACTGCCGTTGAATTCGTCGAGAACAAAGCAAAAAGCTACGCAGCTACACCAGATGGAGAGCAGATGAAACCATATGATCTGTACGTCATGTTGGAGAATTACCAGGAAGAGCAAAGATGCCCTAATAAGAATAGGATCATGCAGAAGAAATAAAGCTGACTAAAGCGCAGGTATCGCAGCAATTCGCACCATAGCTTGTAAGGCGGAAAGATGAAGACCATGGACCTGCAATCCAGTCATATCCAGCTAGGCCAACCGTGTGGTTTGACGCCCAAGAGCAGGTGCTGATTTGGGCCGTTTGGAGCTCGGTGAAGTCGGAGGGGTCGGCGAAGTTCGACGTTTTAAATTCTTCAGAAAGAGCTGACCTTGTCGCATTTCCAAAGGCAGAGATGCTGACCTTGTTTTGCAACATCCGCCTCACAGGTTTGCTGGTCACTTGGCGCATGGAACTGTCAAAAGGATTGAAGGAGTAATGACAGGATATAAAGTTTCCAAGGCAAAGAGACTGCCATATACTGCCATTGGGCCATGGTAATTGAATGTCGGTATATGTCGGTATTATTGTCATCGATTCACAAAGTCCTGCTGCCTCAGAATGGTTTTCCCCTTCTAGCTTTGAAACTCCAAGAATTGCTTCGGAACCTCTCAAGTTGCACAAGTATTGCCAAAGCCGCATTTTGTTGGGCTGCTTGATCCTGGTCCACTGGTTGATCGGCTGAAACTTTGGGTCCCCAAGGGTCCCCGACTCTGTTGATGACTTTGAGGCATTGGTTTGCTACTTCACCGCAGATCACCTGTGCAGGACCGGAGGGGAAATCCAAAGATACAACATGATATAAGCAGTTCATTAAAACAGTGGCTGTCAGCGTCCCTTGTATTCCCTTGTAATCCGTCGCTTCTCTCAAGTTTTGACGGCTTAGACATCTCTCAGGACTTGCCTTGGTGTGAACGCTCTTTGGGCCTCTCGCCTTGGTATGGCACCTTTTTATTGCCCACATAGTTGCCCACATGCTGAGGTGATTGAATGGCCAATCCTGGGACGCAAGCCAGAGATTATGTCTTTCACCAGCTTCACCATGAGAGCAAACTGTCCTGCAGAGCTTGTCAGGAGACAGGGTGCAGGGCATTGTTGTCTCTGTCGACACATAGTGGTCCTCAAAAAGACGGAACAAAGAAAGACAGACTCGATTCAAGATTATGCAATAGTAGGAATGACACTTGGCACTTGGAGTTTGTATTTTGTAATCCTTTGTTTGATTTTGCGCGTGCCCTAATGGGCCGGAATAGTCTGCTATCCCAGTGCTCTTTCCTGCGAACAGTATCAGGAACGCAGTGAGCAATTCTTTCATCTACCAACTCATCGGTGTGTTCAGCTCAGTGGAAGATCTCAAGGATGCTGGCGCTCTTCCATCCAGATTTTTTGGAGCAGTAACCCACCTTTGCACCAATATTGCACTGCGAATGACGTGTTGGTTGCAGTCATCTTCCCTTCCTGCCAAGTTGTCGTCTTCGCTCGTCAATTTGATCGCCATTTTACTGCTGATAAAGGTGCGAGTCTTAAGTCTTAATGTTGGACATGTTGGACTACTGGACGACATGATATTTCTAAGACTTTCTAGGTCCTAGGTTTTTACATACATTGACATACATTATCAAAGATTTTCAGAGTGTAGTATAGATTGTAGTAAAGATACTGGTAGAGACTAACAGCTCAAACAAGTACAGTGCTGCGGTCGGAATTCTTTGAGTGTAGCTACACGCGCACACACACACACACCGCTTGCTTCTGCTTTGATTTCTGGGGTGTGTTCCAGGCAGCTTTCCTGGACGCAAGATCAGTGCCAGTTGCCATCTTGCCTGCCGAAGGTAAGCTGAAAAAGCATTGAAGGTTTGGGCATTGAACCTGTACAGCAAGACTGTATCCGAACATGCCATAACCAACTCGGACTGAAGTCAGGAAAAGCACAAACCTTCGGAGCCAAAGCAGTCTCTACCCGAAAGGAGTTAGTAAAGCCGGCCAGCAGGCATTGCCCAATTGCGCGAGGTTTGCTTGTCACCGGATCACGTCAATGTTTTTCTTGGAAGACCTGATCCGCCAAAGAGACTCCAATGTACAAAGTTGTTCACCTGCTCCTCTGCAATGCTCTTAGCAGTCCGGCCTCTGCTGCAGTCAAAATCCTGGGCCTGCTGAACTGTGGCATTTCTAGGATTGTCTCAACACCATTTATATAATGAATATTGACAAATCTGACACGAAGTTCTGTGCTTCCTAGTCCACATCCAACCCCATCTCTTGAAGAACACAATCCGGCTATTCACACCCACTGTAGATGAGCTCTTCCTCTGCAGAAGTTGGTTTTGCCAGCGATCATCTTGCGCAACTCAGTCTGCAGGATGGAGGTGTTCCATTGCTGTCTGCAGCAGCGGAGGTGCTGAATGCTTTTCAGCAGGCCGTGCTACGCAAGGTTTCAAAAGATCAGCTCTTTAAAAAGCTTCGATCCTTTGATTCTTCCCTTGACATGTATGACTTCTTGCCTTTGCCAGGCATGGGAAGAGGCAGGACAGAAGGGAGAGATTCGATGAGACACGATGAGATACGACAGGTGCAGTGCCGTGCCAGTGCGCCTCCGTCAGGTGCATAGAGATGATCGATGGGCCATCGTGGCAAAGTTTATTTGTCAGCCGAGTTTGCACTCGAAGCACAAGCACGCGTTTACAAATATTTCGAAAAGAGTCACCAACGCAAATGATTAATGCAGCTTTTCAGTTCGGGTTTTGATGTGAAATGATATACCTCCTGCCAGGCTCGATTCCTCCCGATGACCTCAGTACGGACTACTGCGAGAAGTGAGGCGAGGAATGAATCGTAGCTGTGTCCAGGACTATCCACTGAGTCCACTGGTCCTGCAATCAGACAGAGAGCACTGAGATTGAAAAATATCATCTCAATATATCTCAATCATCTCTTGATCTTTTGATATCTTTGTATTGTGTTGGGAAAGATGGGAAAGTGTCTGAACTCCTGAAGGTCTCAACCTCTCGTCGGCCGATAGCTCAGTGATGCTCAGTGCCTCAAAAACTTGGCAAACTTTGGACATCTAGAAGCCTTGTGTCACTGGTCACCTCAATGGATACGGCATCATATTGTAATGGAAAATAATGGAAACCCCTCAAGTTTCCATGGTCTAGAATGCCTAGCCCTTAAGGCCAAAGCCTTAGGGTTCTAGAATGGTCACATTTACATTGTAGAACTCTGCGCGCTTGGCATTGTAGAACTTTGGAAGTTTGTACAGTGCTATATGATGATGTATGGTGGATGTGTTGTGCCTGTTGTGATTTAGTACTTATTGTTTTCAGAATAATTACCCGTGATCCCCAGATTGATAAGGCTCGATTGCACGAGGTCGCGACAATGTGGCCGAACCAATGCCATTTGGCACAAAAAACACGAGGTCAACATAGGTCAACATACAGTAGGAAAATGTCGAATTCACAGTTCAGTTTGTTTCTTGAGCTCTTGTCAGAGCACTTCTGGCTGGGGCAACTTGCGGGTTCAGCCAACTCCTGGTGGAACTTGACCCCCAAAATTATCCCATGTTCAAGTGACAGTTGCAGTCCCGCATGCGACTACTTGCTAATTCCACATGTTATTGTTTGATATTGTGTGACCCTTTTTCTTTTCTTGTGACGCCAAAAAAATACTGCTAAAAAAAATGCGCGCAGTTTGTTGTTTTATGGAAAATATGATTAGTTGGAATTTTAGTTGAAAACTAAACAACCATTCACACGGAAAATAACATGAACCAAACACTAAATTCATTTTAAAAAATGACTTAGGGTTGTGAAACGTGGCAAAGTCATCCCTCACTGTTGGCATTAGTCGGTATCAACAGATGCTTTATATATCTTTATATAATGGCTTGGCAAAGAGGAAACGAAGGCTTTGGCCAAAAACCTGGCTCAGTAGGGAATGACAAGACCATCTGTGGCCGCAACCCACTGAAAATTGCCATGGAATATCATGGAGTGCTCTTAGCATTTTGTTCTTGATCGGCTTCACTTTTTTTGGGGGATCAAATTTCCACATCGTTTTTTACTCTCAACTGCCGGGGTTCAACAGGTTGTTTCTTTAATGATTTTTGTAAAAGATAGGCACACCATTTACGAACCCTCCTCCGAGAAAGGTCCAGAGAGACGGAGGGTTCTAAAATCCACCCTTCAGGATTCCATTTTAGATACCTGATTTGGGATCTACAATGGTACGTAAGGGGGTTTGAGCCAACCTGACAAAATGTAATGGATGTATCCTCTTCTATACCCTGAAGTATACTCTGCAGTGTGGCGAGAGATGTTTTTTGATGGACTCTCCTGCACTTTCTCCGTCATTTTGTTGCGCGTTTGATGGGTTCCAAGCAGACAACCCAATTACTCAGGCGCAAATTCACTCCCAGAAGATCACTGCCTTGAAGGAGGTGAGTGAGATGCTATTTGCACATTCTTGGTCAATCACAATGTAATGTATGCAGGTATATGGATATGCTGTGCATGCGTGTATATATATATATATATAATATGTGTATAATATGTATGTATATCTATATAAAATATGTATATATATATACAATTATATACATAAATATGTATATATGTATATATATATATGTATATATATGTAAGTATATATATATATATATATGTATGTATGTACAGTACATATATATATATATTGAAATCCCCAGGCCTCGGATCTGCCTAGATCCAACCACCGCTAAGACTGCTCCTTTGTCTCGCCTGAGCCAAGAGTGTCTTCGCCGATTGCCGCACCTGAAGAATCGCAAGGCCACGAGACCCCAGTCAGGTGGAAATGGGTGCTGCTTTTAAATTCCCAGTTATATGAAAAATCAAACAGAAACAAACAACAGCCGGCACCAAAAACTCTGGGAGAAAGCGCATCACCATATTGGCAAAAGCTGTCTTTCAGCTTGCAAACTTTCACACCACATTGGAGCCAGGAGAAGGCGGTTCAGTGGCAAGACCATTGCGCTTTTCAGTAAACTTGGTGGCCTGCAAACACTTGGCCAAATCAGCTACACGCGGACCCTTTGATGCCCCTTGCTTCAAAAACCACAACAGGTAGTCCGTTTGGGACTCTTCTAGGGCCAGGGCTTCATAAGACAACTTCAGGCGCGCTACAGCAGGCAGCTCACACAAAGTCTTGCCCCACTCCTTGATCGATGACGCGCCAGGCGGCAGCTCAACCGTCTGAGAACCATGTAATTAGAAGAGATCACTTGCTGACCAAAAGCCGTGGAAGAACCAGTGGGGCTCACATCGCAAGGCAAATCCCAGGGCTCATAATCAAAGGCCATGTCAAAGGAGATGATGGAATCATCAAGAAGACGCTTGCTGGAATCGGCTATCGTTCCCGGCACTTCTGCCTCAGAAGTTTCGGAGGCAAAGTCCCGAATGCCATACTTCTTGAGACGACCCATGATGGCCTTCATGGCCTGAATCTCCTCAGCAGACACTCCGTCCTGAGACATGGCGGAACTAGACTCTGGTGACGATCACCGTTTGGCAAGGTGGCGCTGGCTTGACAAAACGCACAACCGAAAGACTGCTTCTGGTATTGCTGCAATTCTATCAGGCTTACTTCAACAGAAGAAAGGCGAAGAATTCACTACTGCACGACAGGCAGGACACTGCTGATAAAATGGTTTATTATCCGGCTACGCAACTTCGTGCACAACCAAAACTGAAAAAGACGTTCGTAGGCAACAGCGACTAAATTCTTTCACCACCCATTCTCAGGTTTGACGTCGGCGGAGTGTTGATTTCCGACGCCTCTGTTTTTCCTGCTATTTCGATCCAGAACAACCTGGTCATCGGCTAGCTGATAATGATAGTGGCGGATGGCTGAACGCAAAAGGTCCAGGGGGCCACCTTGGTCTTTGGTGAAGGCATCGGCGACCATCCGGTTCTGTGGGACACCATCTGGGTTCCAAACCGCATCGTTGAATCGACTGACGGATTATGGCTATGTCACTGTCTGTGGCTCTCTTATCATCTAAGGTACCCCCACTACCCAAGGAATTGAGATGGTCATATAAGGATCTACAATCACTTACCCCAATCTTACTCCTACGCTTCAGCACCTGATCGACATCAGCTAAACTGAAAGGACCATCAACTGCCTCTGCCAGAAACACTCGGCTATTCCTAAGGCAGCAGAAACCTGTGCTTCTCCACTCAGGGTTGATGAGACGACCCGTGGAAGTCCGTACGATCTCCGGCCAATGCAGTGAATGGGCACATCATGACCATGCGAAAAAGCTTTAGAAGTGAAAGCTAACAACCAACCACCTTGTGTTGCCAATTTGCTGGTGCATCATTTGCTCCATACACGCTTCCCAGAATCTGAACAAGGCTGCCTGGTTTGACTCCAGGCACACCCCCGGAGGGAGCTCGGCATATACTGGGGTCTGTAAAGCTTGCTCAAACACATTCGCTTCTAAAAAGGCGCCCTTGACGTCCCCAAGGCCCAGAATCCATCTATTACTTACGATCAACTGAAGAATGAGACTCCTACTGAGCTGTGACAGTGTGGGAGAGTGACATTTTCCAGCTAAAATCTTTTGAGTGAGATCTGGATCATGGTGACCTCGCAAACACCACCTGGATTTGACCCTTGTGGTCTGGTCCTCTTGTTTCTCTGTAATGACAAAACGACTTGACATTATTCTATCCGGTTTGTGCTTGCGAATCAAGGCGGCTTCATGTGGAGGAATCACTACGATGGCCTGCTTTTCATCCTGGAGTGTTTCCCATTCTACTCTCTTTGAATCATCAATCAAACCTTGCAGCTTGGAAGGATTGTTGGAATGATGAAGCTCTTTTTGCAGAATTTTCTTCTTCAGAAAAG